TTTTTGCCCCCAGCTTGCACTCACCTGCGGAGCCGCCGGCAGGGCTGGGGGTGGGGGCGCGCGAAGCTGGAGCTGCCGAGCGCGGGTTGAAAGCTAGCCAAGCTCTGCAGCGCCCGACCCGGGCGTGTACGCCGCCGCCAGTCCCCGCAGAGAAATCGTCCTCCTACCCCCGCCTCCATCGCTCTGCGTTTCTCTTCCAATCAGCCGGTCGCTTGGCGGCTCCTCCATTCTCCGGCCAAGCCAGCTGCCTAGAACGAGCTCCACTCCATCTGCTAGCCCGGTTCCTCGCTCCCCTGCCGGGCCCGGCGAGGGAACCTGCCTGCTCCCCGCTCCCATGGCTCTATCCCCGCTGTCTCCTGCCTCCTGCTTCTGCGTTTTTTCCAATGCTTCCCTGTCGCCACTGGTGTGTGTCTGAGTGTGTGCGCAGGTTTTTTTTTTTTTTTTTTTTTTTTTTTTTTTTTTTTTTTTTTTTTTATTGCTCTGTTTTTGCAACCCAGAAGCCAAAGCGAGGTAGGGGTGAAGGGAGTGTTATAAAAATGAAAGATAATAACGAAGTCCCTAGATTTGCAACACATCGGAACACGGGAAACACTCCGCCTCGTCGGAGATCTAGGTGCCCCGCGAGGGCCTTCCGGGTTTTTAGTCTTTCGATGTTCCCAAGGCCTCCCCGCTCACGCCACCTTCGCCAGGCTCAGGATCGACGGAGTCCGAGCAAAAAGTTCTCCCCCCGGGTCGTAGTAGAGGGTGTCAGGGTGGGAGTGGGGCAGATTGTTCAAGAAGCAGTAGCCATCCCTCTTACCCCGGCTTCGGTAACTAGGCCGGGGTGGGGGGTGTAGAGCAAAATCCCGGCGGGTTTGCGCGAAGGAATCGGTAGACGGAGCTTCGTGCCTCTCCCCCAGGTTTCTGCCTCCAGTTCCCCGCTAGCTCCCCTTCAACCCCCCCCTTCCTTTAATCTAATTTCTTCCAACTCCACCTTTGTTGTTACCGGCGTCACGCGGGGTTCAGCCAATCGCCGCCTCACAATCAGCTTGTCAAAAAGGCCCCGCCAGCCCTGAGAAAGCTGGCCGCAGGCGCTGCACCCCCCCCCCCCCCCCAACCCCCACCCCCCCCCCCCCCCCCCGCCCAATCCCGGGCGGGGGGGAGCCGCGAGGGGCGCCCGGCGCCCCAGTCCTGCGGGAGCGGCAGCCGGGCGTCCTCCGCCTGGACTACCGCGGCCCACCAGCCCCGCAGCGCCTGGGAAGGCAAGGCTTGGGCACGCACCGCCCTCCGGCCTCCTGCCTTCGGCCCTGGCTGTCTTTGCCAGGGAAGGGACTCAGTGGAAGGGACTTCTGGGCCGGACGCAGAAGGCAGTGCGAATGGAGGGCGTCTGCTTCTGCCAGGCTGGCCCACGGTTTGGGGCCGCCGCTCTCAGACCAACGCCGTTGCTCCTGACTCCACGGCTGCCAGTCTCCCACCGAAACGCCGCTGCTGCCCACATCTCAGCCCGCTGGGTCGCATAGTCTGGATTATTTCCTGGCACGCCGCCTTCCCCATTCTCACAGTCTCGCTGCTGGTGTAATTCCTCTTGTCTCCTGGTAGAAAAATGACAAGCCTTTCCCAGGACAACCACATCCCACTTGTGCCACGTTGCACCATCAGGGAGGAAACGCTTTCCAGATCTGGTGTGTCCTGTTTTTTAGAGAGGCATGGCATGTAGGCGAGGTAGACTGACCGTGATACGTAGAAATGTAGAATTGTAGGCTTCAAGGCCCGTTGCTTGCAGGGCCTATGGAAGGCTCAGTGTTTTGTTTTTGTCTTTTGAGACATCTGGCCTGGCACTCGCTATGTAGACCAAGATGGCCTCGATCTCATAGAGATCTGCCTGCCTCTGCCTCCCGAGTGCTGGGCTTAAATGCGTGTGCCACCATGCCCGGTGGAAGGCTCAGTTCTTACATGACTTTATATTATAGTTTTTGTTAAAAGGACTCTTCCCCCACCCCACCCAGCAGACCAGATCTGCCCTTGGGATACACACAGGGCATTTTGTGGGGGATCAAGCTGTCTCACACTGCACTAAAAAAGCACCACATGGAATGGACTTTTATTTTTTAACAAGGGAAGAGTAAAAGGTTTAGAATCAAAAAGCCTACATTTCCCACTTCTATCACCTTCTTGATAGTGTGTGAGTTTAGATATATCCTACCCTAACCTTATCCCACTTCCCTATCTATAGAATTAGAATAAGGAAAAAGAATTATAGTTAAGAATTCTAACAAGAAAAGAATTAGAATAAGAATCCTACTATTTATTCTGCTTCCTCTTCCAGGATTGGAGGGTCAAGTGAGATGTAAAACTGTATCTTTCTCCACATGTCACCAACCACAGTTACAACCAGAGAAACTTACACCCCAAGAAAGTTCTAAATGTTCCATTGGCAGATCTGAAGTCCAGGGGCTCTGGCCTTGAACTTCTTGGCTGGGCCAAGGGGCTTTTTGGTAAAGTGCTTTGGGATAAAACAGGATGAACATAAATCAAGAATTATTATTATTGATTCCTTGGGCAGCAAAAATCATGGCTGGCACCTTTCCTACTTGGAAACTGCTTGGCTTTACCTCTATTGTGTCTCTGGTGAGGTCAGGAATCTAAGATTTGGCCTACAGGCCATAGTGTGAGAGAATCTGCCCTTGGCCTTTATTCTTTGCTTTCCCCTGTTCATCTTACACCTTCCAGTTTTCTGGCATTTGGCTTGAAGTAGAGCCTTGGCATTCCAGAGCCCTAGCTTAGGCTAGTGACAAAGCATAAGCCTAGCTATGCAATTTCTGCTTGGCTGTGCCCTTCCGTGGGTTGCCCCCATCCAAGTGCTGGCTCTTAGAAAGCCACCAGAGTGCCTGGAATGCATTAAGCAAAAATGTAGACCAGGTTGTCCTGGAACTCACAGAAATCCACCCGCCTCTACTTCCTGGATGCTGGGTTTAAAGGCATGTGCCACCACTCCTGGCAGAGTTACATATTTTAAATTTTCTTGGAAGTGATCTTGTTTAAAAAAAGTATTTGCAGGAGCTGGAGAGATGGCTCAGCGGTTAAGAGCACTGGCTGCTCTTGCAGACCACTCTGGTTTGATTCCCAGCACCCACATGGAGACTATTTCCAGGGGATCTGATGCTTTCTTCTGGCCTTTATGGACACTGTACACACATAGTACACTTCCATACTTTCAGGCAAAACACTCAAGCACATAAAACAGAAATAAGCCAGGTGTTGTGGTACACACCTTTAATCCCAACATTTGGGAGGCAGAGGCAGGTAGATCTCTGTGAAACTGAGGTCAGCCTGGTCTACATAGGCTTAGTAAAGTTCACACATTTTAAGCATACAGCTTGATGTAATTTTATTTTAATTTTATTTATTTTGGCCTTTTTTTTTTTTGAGACAGGTCTTGAAATCACAGAGATCCTCCTGTCTCTGCCTCTCAAGTGCTGGGACTAAAGATGTGCCTGGCTAATTTTGTTTACTTTATGAGATAGAGTCTCTTGTAGCTGAAGCAGGCCTTGAATTTCTGATTCCTCTCCCTCCACCTCCCAAGTGTTGGAACTATAGGTATATACCATGCTGCCCAGTTGATAGCTTGATGATCTTTTTATCTGTTATGTATGTATATATTATGTAACCATACACCAGATCATAATATTGAATGTTTTCAGCATCTACCAAGCTTATTGAGCCAATATTCCACTCCAAATGCCTTCAGCATTCTGAGTTCTATCTCCATAGATAGGTTTTGGTGGATTTCATAGTATTCCATTGCATAAATATACCACAATTTATTCTGATAATGGATCTTTAAGTTGTATCCAGGTTTTTGTGTGTGTGCATGTGTTTTATTTTTATTGTATGTATGATGTGGGGTGGGGTGCATGGCGTGGTTTAAGTGTGGAGGTCAGAGGCCAACTTTGTTTAATCATTTCTTTCATTTTTACATGCATTCTGGGGATCAAACTCGGGTCCTCAGGCCTACATTGTTGGGAGGCAAATGCTCCAGCCCCTCAAGGCAAATTCTTAGCTGTGAGACTCTGTAAAAATAAAAACAAGTGCTTGAGAGATGGCTCAGTTGTTAAGAGCACTGGCTGCTCTTGCAGAGGATCCAGGTTCAATTCCCAGCACCCAAATGTTAGCTGACAACTGTCCCTAACTCCAGTTCCAGGGGATCTGACACCCTCTTCTGACCTCCATGGGCATTGCACAACATGGGTGCACTTACCTACATGTAGGCATTATACTCATATACATAAAAATAATAAAAAATTTTTAATAAAAAAAAAGTCACATGCTTTCAGTATACAACTACACAGAGTAAACATTCCTATTCTGAAAGGCAGGAGTGGGGTCCTAGAAAGAATGGTTAAGACCAAAGCAAGATAGAACCCCAGCACTGGAAGGCTTCAAAGTCTATAGTTCCATTTCAGGCTGTGAAACAAATGGTGGTGGGCTGTGAACTACCAAAGGTTTGAGCAACCTTTATCCTACGACCTTGCTAGTTGCAGCCTATCAGACTTTTCTCTTGGTCTGGGTGGGTTTGCTGCCCATAGGTTTCCTCAGCAGTTCTACATTCTTTTTTTTTTTTTTTCCCTGTTTTTTTTTGGAGGGGGATAAGGTCTCATTATGTAGCCATGGAACTTCAGGCTGGCCTTGGACTCACTGGAATACTTCTGTCTCTTCCTCCCAACTGCTGGGATTAAAGGCATGTGCCACCTTGCCCTGGTGATGTTCCACGTTTTTGTCAGCTCTAACTTTCTGGGATCTCTACTCAGCTTTGGACATCGTCCTGTCAGGAGAGGACTCCCTAGGGGGAGTCTAGTCCTTCCATACATTACATGGCCTTCTAAGCCTTGTTTTGAAGTTTGGGTTGAAGCTTGATGACCCTGTAACTCTTGTATTTTTTCATGCCTATAAAATCAGCACATAGTAAGTTCAGGCTGGCTGGGGCTACATTAAGACCATAAAATAAAATAAAATCAGCATCATGTGGACAATTTTGTCACCAGCTCAAATAGCAGTCAAGCTTCCTTGGATTTTAATTGAAGTAGCCTCTGAATGCCTGGATGGATGAACATGGGGGAACATTTCCCTACATAGCTTTGTGTGATCAGGGAGCCCCAGAGCTCTCTTCTCAAATCTCTTCTTTCAAATGAGTTAAAAGCTTTCTACCCTTGAGCCTGATATACATAGCAACTACTTAATTCTCTCTCTCTGTCTTTCTCTCTCTGTCTCTGTCTCTCTGTCTCTCTCCCCCTTCCTCCTCAATACCATATACACTTTTTTGGTTGTTTTTGTTTGGGGGGGACAGAGTCTCACTCTGTACTCTCGA